GGGTTTGGGCCCTCAGCTGCTCTGAGAGCCTGTGGGTGTGCAGGACAGATTTTGTGTGAACAGGAGGTGGAAGAGCTGCGCAGGAGGACTTGGTAGGGGGTAGTTGGTTCTGCTCTCTTTTGTCCAGGGCTGCTGGAGAATTCCAGAGAGCAAGCAAGGAGAGCCTGGTACAATTCGGCAGACAGGCACCTGCCAAGGCTGGCCCCAAACCCTGCCGAATTGAGAGGGAGGCCTGGCAGCCCTGCCCAGGTGCCATCCTCCATCTGCCACCCCTACCAAGCAGGTGGAAGGAAGTTACCGAAGAGGCCCTCTCTAGGGTTCTGCCTGGCTCTCCCAACACACATGCCCCCTCCCCACTGCTTCCCTGAGGCAGGCTACTTCCTGCTCTGGATTGCCCCCACCCCAGTATTTGTTAACTTCATAGAGACCCAGCTATCCAACGAGTCCCTTCCCCCTTTGTGTGCATATCCTCCACCCATTGCTCCTGTACAAAGCTGTGAGTGAGGTGTGTGTTAACTTGAGCAGCTGGAGGCCCTGACTACCTGGTCAGTCACCCCTACACCCTGGCACGTACTGTGAGCTTCTGTGTCAGCCAAGGCTATGCTAGCTCTTCTCCCACTGGTGTTGTGAACTCCTCGTCAGCTTTCCTCGTGCATATCTTGGCCAGCTGCCTGCTGCTTGTCCTCCTCCAGAGAGGTAGGTAGGTGTGTGTGTGTGTGTGTGTGTGTGTGTGTGTGTGTGTGTGTTCGTGTGTGTGTTCTTACCTGATTAGCCATTTCCCAGAATCCCCAGGCCCAGTCAGTCCTGGAAGCCAGTCAGAAGCAAGGATGTTGACAAGGGATTGCTTGATGATTTTGACATGGGACTGTCCTGTGATACTGTACTCCTGCTGTTACTTGTAACTATTTTCTAGGGTTGGTGGGGTGTTGCAAGCTATGCTCCCCAATTCTGTGATTGGTCTGTGTATGCTGTAAGGCAGCACCACCCTTCAGTGGTGATGCTTTCAAAGCATTCCTTAAAGCAAGGGCTATTACCAGAGGTCATCATCGTGACAAGAGACAGATCTGAGGCACACAAGACAATGTATTCTAGCAGAAGATCCTTGTGTGGTCAGGGCCTTGGGAGTAGGGGATGACAGGACCTGTGGCTTCTAGTGCCCAATGAAAGTTTCTGCGTTATCTCTTTTTTAATGGTTTTAATATACGTTTTTGTTGAATAAATTTCATGAATGATCCAGCTCTGTCCTGCCTGTGCTGCAAGTGAGTTGGAGGGCAGCAGTGGTGGCTGGATTGACACTGGCATGTGTCCATGTCCAAGATCATAAGGGACTAAAAGTGGTCTCCTGGATGGGAATACTATAGGCTACTGGTAGCCAATGGATGTGGGGTACAGTGACTATCTGTCTTCCCAGGGCATTTGACAGGAACAAGAATGAAGGGGCTACATACTGAAGGGAGGGTGCATTATGGAACTCTGACCCCCTTCCTTCACGTTTATAGCTCTAAGGTTACCTCCCCCAACTCAGAGTAGCTTGCTCCTCTACCCCTGGCAAACTTTTGGCAATCTTTGTTTCTCAATCTCCTGAGCATGAACCACCATGTTCAGCTTGGTTTTATAGCAAGAATTGCTTCCGGTAAACCACATGCCCCAAATCACCAATTTATTATACTCAAGTGCACATATATACACAAAAACCAAAAATGTTTTTTAAAAATGGATATAATAGTGATGTGTAATATCTTAACATTTATTATAATTTGCGTACATTAATGTGGATGAAGCAAATATAACTAGAAACACTAAGCAATTAAAAAGAAGTAAAATAATGCAAAACCATCCATCCCTCTCTTAACTACAGAATCTTTGTCTTTGAAGACACAAAAGGACTACTTTGGATTCAAATCAATACTAGCATTGCAAGCTATCTTTGAGTATCTCCCATATTTGTAAAATTCCTCAAATGCTGTAGTACACCTGTAAGGTGGAGAAACCATCCCACCTTGGGCCTCTTTAATTTGGATACCATCTATGGGGCCTGCACTGAGACTCCCAGGTAACACCTCTAACCAAAGGAGTAACTCACTTTTGTCTTACTAATTCATGTGGCACCCATATGTTATTGCTCACCATCTGCCAAGTCCCATGCTAGAGCTAGACTTGAGAAAGACTAGTTGATAATTAGTATGGGAGTGTGACATACTGTATTCCTTCTCCCCTTCAGAATACATGCAGCAGATAAATATGCAAATAAATATAATGTTCTTCTCCAATTACTTGATAGGAAGAACAAGTCCATACTCAAATGTGCTTAGGGATCAGAGTCTAAAGAAAGAGAAGAGCTATTTTATAAGTAAATCAAATGAAGAGACCTCCATTTTGCATCCCCAAATCTTGAGAGCTATGTTTCTTTTCAAGGAGCTTATAATTTAATGCTGCACCTAAAGGTAGCAGGGTGCAGTTGAATCAGGGCAACGTATTAGCAGACTCTGCTCTGCAAGACATCAGTTTTTAGTGCTTTGAGTACATGGGGACCTAGTAGTTGATGTTGGTTTGAAGCATAGTCAGGGCAGAAAACAGGTCACTGTGTGCTCAGGACAGACAGTCTACTGCACCATTCACTGGGTAGCAATTAGATTACTGTAGTGCTTCAGGGAGGGATCTAAGAAGCTTAGAGTGAATTTCACACTTTTTCCATGTCTAAGACTATGCCTCCGAGCAGTATTTCATGGTAGGGACCCTCCACATAGTGCCTGGTACATGCTCAATACTAGGTCAGTGCCACAATGGTTATTGCTTCTGAAGAAAGTATGGGCTCCAGAGAGAGACAACAGTGGTTCTACAGGATTCTTCCCACTCTTTTGAGCATTACTGTCTTCATTTCTAAGATAATATCTTAGAAAGTATTAAGGAGATTAAAAGCCAGTGCTTTGTAGTAATGCCTGGTGTGTGGTTAGGTCTCAAGAAACCTTATCTGTTCTCTTTTTGACTTTTGGGGGGATCTATATACCCTAAAAGCAGCTCAGAAAATTTCTAAGTAACTCCAGGAATCAGGATACTGAGGATACAGACTTGAACTAGCTATCAAAATTCAAACAGACACAGATAGCCCTTTTGGTAGCTCTATCTTACCAAATTTAGACCTGGGTAAACTTTCTAATATGTACTGGCATTTCTTCCTGGAAAAACTCAAAGGAGAATGGGAGGAGGTAACTTAAATCTGCTACATAATTCTATCAAAAACAACTATTTTTTTTAAAAAGTGTATGAGAAACACACACACACACACATACACACACACACACACACACACACACACACAGAGAGAGAGAGAGAGAGAGAGAGAGAGAGAGAGAAACTTATTGCAAACCCTTAGCATTCAATACGTGTAATTTCCCTACCAGGGATCGTCAACAGCATTTGTTTTGGTCCCTCAGAAGCTTCCAAAAGTCTGCATACACTGATACCTACATTTGTGCCCATGTCTAACATACCAGGTCATTTGCACTCATTAGAAAGCCAATAAATCTTAGGGAAGTCAAAGTGGAGTCCTTCATCCTGGGAGCAACTGAGATATGGATTTGAATCTCTAAGGTATAAAAGATTATATACATGTAATTATAACATCATGGAGATACAATACTTGATGTGTTACTTCAGTACAAGGTTGGCAGAAGTACAGTGAAATCAGGTGGGGGGATGTAAGGGTTTAAGAAGAACCAACAATTTGAGGAGCAAGTACACAGCCAAATGCATCTGGAACTCATCAGCTTCTGTTAAGCCTGCAGGAGGCAAAAGGAAACCAATGAGACTTGAAGTAGGCATCCAATACCTGACAGCCCTTGAGGTCCCTTGGGGTGGGTAACTGTTACAGTGATTGTAAGCCTAAGTCAAGTGCAAATGCATTTCCTCAAGAGAAGACAACCTTTCTGCCATCAGAGGGGGAAAATATGCTGTGTTCAGACACTTGGAACAATCCCATTGGCTATTGGCCCAGAGGCTGCTTTATTCAACATCTTCATTATTAAGTCTAAATCTAACGCTATGCAAACAATGCTGGAAGTAGTCCAATGGAATATAGCAGAGAACACAGTACTAGAATCTGAGACCCAGGATGAGGTTCAGATCCTACTACATACCAACTAGGTGTTTGTCCAGAACATTTCCCTTGTACATCTTTATTTCCTTGTCACAAAATATGTCCAGGTGTCCCAGGGTTAGAGGATTCAGCTGAGGTTCTAGATAGGGGAGATTTCTTTAGAGGAAGATGCTATGACTCTACAAACTTGGAAAGAGTCCCTAGGGAGGGGTTTTGCCCACATCACTTAAGATCTCAAAGTAGCATAAGGCACAGAACAAGGACTTGGGATTATCTGATTATATTGACTGAGAAGCATAGCAGGGTTCTGAAGTAAAACCCAGGTCCAAACCAGGGCAAACTTTTGTCTTTTTCTTTAGTCTAATGGGGCTCTTGGCCACTTATCCTAAGGGCTTCCAGCACTCACCTAGAAGAGCTTCTCATAGCATTTCCCACAGTGGATGATATCACGGTGAATGAAGATCTGATCTAGAAGATCGCCCATCGGTTTATTGCAAATCCCACACTAACAGAGAAAAGTGGACATCAGGATTTAAAGCAGATGCTGTGAACTGATAAGACATTTTGGACTTTCAAGGAGATAACAAGACATTAAAAACGATATAAAATCTGATCTAGAGAACAAGATGAGACACACAATAATACACCAAAAGTAAGCTGATAGGGACTGGTGAGATGGCTCAGCCAGTAAAGCACTTGCTGTGGATTTGATCTTCAGAACTCATATAAAAGGTGGGTGCAGATGCACAAACCTGTAATCCCAATGCCTGGGTGGCAGACCCAGGAGGATTCCTGTGGCTCTGACCACTCCAGGTTCACTGAGAGACCATGTTCCTGCTATCAAACAACAGAGAAGAAGGTATACAATGTCTGGCCTACACACACACACATGCGCCCATACACACACATATGCCCTCCCCCCACACACACACACGCAGGATTACCAGCATTCTAGTTAGGGGTTGAAGTTTCACAATTCAGCCCAGGTTAAAAACTTGACTGAGTGAGATAGGCAAGTTACTGAAAGTTTCCCAGCCTCCATTTCCTTATCAGATCAGGAGAGACTGGAGGGAATGAAGTTTAAGGTCTGAGGAAGATGACAGCGCCCCACAGAAGAAAAGGATATTTTAGTAGCCTGGTCCCTCCCACAAACTTGTATCCCCAGGAATGTCAGTAGCAGGACTTCCTGGCACTCGGACTTGAGTAAAAGTAGGCCAAAAAGTGTATGGTTTTGCAGAACTCTCAGTGTCTCCAGCCTGGGACTTCTAGCTTCAAGCAGTCAAGGGTGCTGGGAAGGAGAGAACAGCCTTTGGACAACCTCAAGTCCCTTTGCTCATTCTCACCATGCACCCTTCTGATGGTAATCTGGCTTCTTCTCAAGTTTATCCTGGCAGAGTATTTCTTAATGTAAATCAATTACGCTTCTGTTTCATGTATAATACTTCTATCCTTTTAGTTACTGTGCACTAGACTGGAACATGAACTTAGAACGGTGCTGATGCACTTAGGGGGGGTCACTTCTGGGCATGTAGAAAATGATAGAACTTACTGACAAGCACTAGTACAACATATGTAAAATTCTAGGTTCAATCCCCAGTACTGAGCAAAACATCTCTGAAAGACCTCTAGCTGTCTTGTCACAACCAGGAATTGAGCAGGTTACTGTCAATGCTGAGTAACTCTGTGACCTTAGAAAAATAATGCTGGACTAGAGAAAGGGCTCCATGGGTAAAACACTTGTCATGTAAGCATCAGAACCTGAGTTTGGACCCTTAGTACCTATATAAATCTGGATGTGGTAGCATGCACCTGTAATTTCAGTGCTCCTATGGTGAGATGGGAGAAAGAAAGGTGACTCGTTAGGAACTCATAGACCTGTTACACTGGCATACAGTAGCAGACAAGACACCGTTTCAAACTAGGTGGGAAGTGAGGCCCAACACCCAAACTGTCCTCTGATCTCTATGAGAATGTCATAGCACGAAAGACACATGAACACCTATGTAGGGTGACACTGTAGCCCCGCCTCCTAGTAGCCCGGACAGGTGTGCCGTGACACACCCATGAGGGTGTGGTCAGGGGAGGTCTAAAGGTGATGCAGTCCATAAGGCTAAGGTTTCTGTATTCAGATAAACACTAGCCAAGCGCAAGCCAAATCATGCACAGAGCTCACAAGCTAGCGTGGCCAGAGAGAGGGAGCATCCACATGTCCACCGTCCGTTAAGAATCCTTCCTGCGTCACCTTTAGACCTCTCCTGACCAGAAAGCTGACACTAAATTGAATTTAAATTAATTAAAAAATGTAGAGATTATAACAAAATTACACATACATTTTGAGATGTTCATTTGTGTATGTTCATTTCTTTCTCTGACTTTGCCTCTTCATTCTTTATCTCCTAACAGCAAGATTATATATCAATGGGAAGTGCCTGTGTTAAGATATTAGAATTTCCATGTTTAAAAGATCACTTTTACTTGGGAAGATAGACACAGTCCTGTCCTAAAATTCCTTTCAGTGCTGAAGGCACAAATCCCAGTTTGGTCTGAGGTGAAGTCCCTAAAGTTTAGGGGAACACCTCAGGCTGCTAAGTGTTAAGTATCAAAGAAACCCAGGACAAAAGACTGAGGTACTTATTAACATATCAAAGCAGAAGCTGCCAGGCTTTCTCAGTACCCTTTACAGAGTTATGGTTTATCTCAGAACTTCTCACACTCACCCCTACCCTAAACCTCTTTAGCTTGTGCTTTGCTCCAACCACCCCCCTCACCACTTCTCTTTTCCTATAAAACAGCCATTTTGGCTACACGCTCTTGGTTGTCTTGGCTCCTGGTTACTCTCTTGGCCTCTTGATATGCAGCTTCTCTCTAAGCCCTGTCTCTCCTCTCTCCTCTCTTGTCTCCCTCTCTTCCTCCTCCCAACCCCCACCGCTGCCATCCCTCTCCTCTCATGGCTTGGTTCAGTCTGGATACTTCCAGGTGCTTCTGGCTGTTTTCTCTGTCATATCTAAAGTAAAACATTTTCTTCAACCATATCAAGGAAAAGTCATGCCATTTTTCATTCATCTGCTACTGAAACTATAGGAGTGGCATACATATATGAGTGCTTTCCAAGGGACTCGGCCTCTCTAAAGCTCCTAAGGTATGTGTAGATCATTTGTTTCTGCTGCCTTCTTACACCCACAAAATTTGACCTCAAATGCTAGAGTCCACTTTTTCAGCTGCATCTTCCCTACACCTGCTCTAATCATTAGTCTCTCCTGCTCTACTTGGTATCTCTCTGGCTCCTACAGCCTGCTACACCTCCTAGGCATTTACAAAACTCGTGATCTGTCTGGCTCCTGGACCCTCCTATGCCCTCCTGGGTTGCCTATCACCTGGGTATCTCTACTTGTCTCTGACCTGCTACACCCATGTGGGCATCTCTCTACTAAAGACACTAACCCCCACTCTTTCCCCAAAAGTCTCTCCCAGTCCACCTCTTCAGCAGTTGTCTCCTATACATTTCTCTTCTTCTACTGCATATGTGTTACCCTGGACTTCCCTGCTTTGTCTACTTATTATAAAAGCTATACTAGTGTGCCAGGACACTCCTCTTGCCCTACTGGGTCCCTATCATGTAGAAAGGGTCACCTCTCCTCTGTGATTTCGGACATTTCTGACAAGTCTCTCATTTTGCTTGCGGATTACTCTGGATTGAAATTCTTGTCACCACTACATTTACCCTCTCTGCTCCTTTTGTTCTCAGCTTCTTCTTGGATCTTCCTCAGCTCCCCCTAGAAGCTGTAGTCCTACAGCTTCCTTAAGCCCTTTTGGGACTACAACCCTTTCCTTGCCTCCTCCCCCTCAGAGCTACTAGCTCTATCTCTCCTTATGCCATCCTGGGCCTCCAGTTTCTTTACATGCTCTTGGGCCTTATATGACCCTTTCTCTCTTCCTCCTTGGACTCAGAGATTTTATTAAAGTTTCACTGTCTTACTGCAAAAGGTTTAGCCTCAATATATAGATCAATCAGTGGCCAAAGATTGGCACACTCAATTTTCAATTCTCTCATAAGATAACAACTTCTGCCACTGAACAAATGATCCCCAAATCTCTTATGTCTAAACTTGCTCTGCTCACTCCCAAATGTCTCTTATCTCTAAGGTTTTTCTACTTTCCAGTTTTAAAAAACTCTTCTATCTCAGCAGGACAGTGGTAGCACCTGTCTCTAATTCCAGCATTCAGGAAGCAGAGTCAGGCAGATCTGTGTGAGTTCAAGGCTAGCCTGGTCTACAAAGTGAGTTCCAGGACAGGCTATGGAAAGAAACAGTATCTTGAAAAATCAAAAACAAAACAAAATAAAACAAAAAACCCTCTGTCTCTACTATTTCTTTGCTTTCTACTCATGAAGAAAATCTCTTAACACTATGCTGTAAACTGTCAGGATTTTTTAAAGTTCATTGGGTATGGTTAAAAATATCTATAACAAGACTTTGATGATCCCCATAGGAGGCCTCACCCTCTCTGAGGAGTGAATGGGGAGTGGGAGGGGCAGATGGGGAGGAGTGAGAGGATGGGGGAGGGAACAGGGATTGGTATGTAAAATAAGATTGGTTTTAATTTAAATTTAAAAATTAATTTAAAAATCTGTAACAAACTTGAGCTTAAAACATAACAAAAGGCTCATAATTAAAAATGTATATATTATTAATCTTAATTTGCTACAATTTACTATTCAACTCTTGTTTAAAAAATAAGTCTACTAGAAAATAAATGTTTTTGTATAGTGACCAAATGGCTGATAGTTGTCTTTACTAAGGTTAAAAAAAAAAAAGAGTACATCATCTTGATTAAAATGACTATGTGGTATAAATCAACCAAAGCAATAATTATAAAACTTCGTAGTCCTACTGAGCCCCATTGTTATCATTGTATCTCCTTTTAGACTAAGGCAGCAACAGGTTGGATTAGGATGCATTTTCATATGATGATCAATTCCTAAGGTTATAAAGGTCTATTCAGATTAATAGAAACTGACTAAGACATGTATGTCTAACCACTTTTGTCTTTGCTGTGTTCAATACAAGGCTTCTGAAAAATCTTAGATAAGGAAGAACATATGTTTGATAAATAAGGTTTATAAATTCCTATGGTCTACTAAGGTTAACTGTAACTGACTTAAAGATATATGTCTAGCCTCTTTGTCTTTGCTGCATTTATGGCTTAAAGTTTTATTTTAATGCTAAAAGATCTTCAGTTAAATCTTTAACTCAAATTTTTAAGGCTCAAACTTAACAGAGATAAAGCTATAAAATCGTAAATTTATAAAGACTACTAACTTATTGTAAACTGTTAAGTTGAATTAATACATGCAAGTTAATGCTCAGGACTATGATATTAGTCATGCTAAGTACAAATGTAATTCATTCACAGGGGCATGCTTTATTTAGCCTCCTGTATGTGTTTTTAAGGTTAAGCCTAAAGCAAGTAACTAAAAATAAGTATTTAAAAAAAACAGGTATAGATAATAGACAAAGGTCCTCAAACTCTTCAGAGATCTGCTTAATATGGCATTTAAGATGTTTAATGAAAAAGCTTTCTGTGATAAACAGAGATGTCAGCTCCTAACAAAGAGGATGATGAAGATGATCATGTGGAGCTATGTTTCCTCACTGCTAATGTTTTGGGGACTCATACAGAGAAATCCATCTTTCACTATTGTTTGTGAGTTTCCCTTGTCTGTTGCTTGCTGACCTACCTTGTAAGCAGGGCTGCCATGTTACCTTAGGTTCGTTTGTCTCTGTTTTTCTGGCCAGAGACCTACTTAGTACTTGATAAATGCTACTGCCCCCCCCCAAAAAAATAGAAATTTCCTTGACATATGCATAACCTGCTTTGGGATCAGATGGGATAGTGTGTGGCTTTTCCAGGAGCTATCTTATGACCTGATTCCCTATCTGCCTTCAGTCAGTGTTCTGCCAAGGGAGCAGCCTGGGCAAAATGGAGAGCTCCTTCCCCAAGGCAGCACATTAGCAACAACCACTCACATCTTAAAAGGACTGTCTTTCTATATTTTTTAAGTTCAAAATAGATAATTTAAAGTAACATTGAGGAAACATTTTCATCATTAAATACATCTCCTTTCCCTCAGCTATTTAAAAGAGAAAACTACATGTCAAACTTCATATTTTTGATTTTTTATTAAGCCTTTCTCATATCTTAAAGAGATAGGGATAAAAATATTCTACCTTTTTTTTTTACAACTAGGTACACCATTTATAAAGGCTACTTTTACTAAAATGTGGTTATGGATAGAACCAACTTTCTGACTGGACTTAAACACTGCTTCGCAGGGGGAAATTCATATCCGTTTCAAGAAATTTAAAACCTGTGCTGCCAAGGATGTCATAGGCCCAGTGGTTAAACAACTGCCATTGCTTTAGTAAATGAGGGTGATATAGTGGCTAAGATGCCATCTATCCAGGCTGCTAACGGAGTATTGTCACCAGCACTCCTACTTGGATGACAGTCCTGCATGCTATACTAGTGATATACAAGATCTCTGCACTAGTGTAACCAAGAAGATTCCAATTGGATTTAATACCACCTCCATGAAAGAGAATTCACATTTCTTACTGTGAGCCCTGTTAAAGGCAGTGGTTGGGGAGTGCATAAGCCGTAGTGTGGAAAATACTGGTGTTGTTTTGTTAATTAGACATTTCCTCATGGACACAGATTATTGCTGCTGTTAAGTTTTATCAGGGAAGCTTCTTTTTGTAGTAAGAGGTAGTTACTGTACATTTCTAACTAGTCACACTGCTGAGTGATACGACTGTCACTAAAGCATGGTACCATACTGCTTAGTCCTAACCTAAGTGGGAGAAATTAATAATTTTTCTGTATAACCCCAGGGAACATCACAGAAGAGGGAATGGAAAAATGTAGGAATCACAGGGAGGGATGAACTTCTGTGGAACTCTGTTGTTCTGGCACGGGTGTTGCATCTTAAAACCAGAGTGTGCAGGATTACCTGTGTGAGATCTTTATAAGACTCGGTCCAAAAGCATTCCCTTGTGGAACTCACAGGGCAGCTCATGAAAGGGTGACTGGCACTTCAGGAGTGGTATATGAAGCATATTAGACTAGGTGCAGTACGTCCCACCTCACCCCAAGAATACATATGCAGTTAATGGTTGCTATGGGGAGGGTACTTTCCTTTGCTGGTGTACCTATGTCATAAGTTACCCATGTTCCTATAGGCACCCCTCACCTTTCTCCTATCATTAACTCTGATTAAGCTCACTGTTTTACCAAACTAGATGAGTGGAATAATTTCTTTCATCTGTTTTTAGTGCTCTATATGTGGTGAACATCTGTTCACAATTCCCTAGGAAAATTGAATTCATTTCCCCCTCATACTTGCCATCTTGTTCATGCCAGTTAGAATAAGCCATGTTTCTGCATTTGGGACTTTGCACTCCTTGCCCTCTATGAGAAATAATTTTTGCCCCTATTATGTTACCAACCATGTGGAACTGCCAACACATCTCCATTTAGCTTAGTGCTTTGTTGAGCCTCTAGGATTGTTCACATATGTGTGCAGAAATCCAGTTTCCATGCTGCCTCATCAGTTCTGTGCTCTGCAAAATATTCACACCTCTTTCTTACCTTAAAACAATACTCATGGCAGCAGATGGCAAGATGTTCAAGGGTAATCTTTGGACAGTCTCGGATCTCACGGCTGCAGTAAGTACACACCCCTTCAGTTGCTCTAGGAGATAGAAACAAGAACCAGGTACTCAGGCTGGTACCCAGTCTTCTGATATGATGCAGCAGATCTAGTTTGATGCTGACAGACCTAGGTTTGCCAGTATTACCAGCTTTGCATTGTGTTCTATGTTGTGTAACTGGAAGTCAAAAATGTATACTGCATCATCTATGCCAAGCTGGTTCTCAAACATGGAACTATTCTCCCAAACCAGTATAGACAGCCGTGTTCTGCATGCCTGGGACAATGGAGCCCATCCTTTCTTCCAGTTACTATCAAGGCCACCCTATCTTTAGTCTGATTGTACAGCCTACCCAGAACCCATCCTAAATTCCTAGAAGATACTAACTTCTGGATCCACTGTATCCTCTGTTCTAAGATTCCTTTTATTTCAGTGAATCATCTCTGATCTCCCCACTGTTTCTTCCCCTAACAGGAGCTGCTGAAAGAGGCTATTTTGTCTGATCCTACAGGCTAAAATTAGAAGTTCTGTCTTTCAGGGATATAGACCTGATTCTAACAGAAGCCAGGGTGTCACTAGCAACCAGGACCTAGCACTACCATGGACACTGATGGTTTGGCCTGTGTGGTGGTTTGAATGAAAATGGCTCATGTAGGCTCATACGCAGTGGCATTATAAGAAGTGTGACCTTCTTAGAGTAGGTGTGACTTTGTTGGAGGAAGTGTGTCGCCAGAGGTGGGCTTTGAGGTCTCAGATGCTCAAGCTGTCTTTGGAGAGAATCCCTGTCGTTTAACCAAGTCCAGTGACTAATCAGTAATGATACATTCTGGATTTAGTATTGGAACAATGGAGAGCAAGAGATCCAGGGTATTTGATACATCACTTGCTCTTATATAATTGAAAATTTTTCAGGCATCTCACCCATTTGCCATCTGTGATTTATATGTGATCTGCGTGTGTCCCCCAAGGATTCAAATGTTACAAGCTTTGTCTTCAGTGTAGCAATATGATATATGCTAAGATTTTAAGAGTTGGGGCCTACTTACCCCTCAGGGGAGAGCTCACCCCTGTACTCGGGAAAGATGGCTCCACCCTTCACCATAGGAGTGTACCTCACCTGGAAAGCACATTAGAGCTGACCCTTTGGTCAGGGACACAGGTGAGCCAACCCTGAGTGCATGAGAGCTGAAGAGCTGACCTTTCCCCTCTTGTCTGCTATGTGGTGGCATGGGTGAGAAAAAGATGTCCTCTGCACTCTACCCTTTGCTACCTGTGGCAGGGGAGAGAGCTGGCCCTGGGATCGTGGGAGTGGAAGAACAAGCACTGCCCTCCATGAGCTATAGCACATGGGAGAGTGAGCTCTGCACCCCGTCTGGGCAGCATACTTGGGCTGACCCTGTTGTCAGGATCCCAGGTGAAGCAGCACTCACGGTATGAGAACAGAAGAGCTGACCACACCCTCAGTATGCCCCCTCCAGTAATCGGGAGAAAGGGACCTGCACCTTGCCTAAACAAAACAGTCGTGCTGGCTATGGTCATATGAGTGAGGGGGATCTGAATTTGAGGGCCTGAGAGCACAAGTGGCCCCACTCCTTGCTACAGGCTGCATTGAGTGAGCTGGGGCAGTGCTGGAGACCTCATCTGGGTAGTGATGAGGGAAAGCTGGTGGGCTGACCAATCCAGCTACCACCCAGGCCCAGAATCAGACCTATATGTTGACCCACCTCAACATCCACTGAATTTATGAACTGCTGGAGCATTGGAAGGGGACAAACATACTGATCTCAAATTGCAGGATCCCCACAACACAGTACAGCAGGATGTCCAAGAGGGCCCAAGTGAGACCCCTTTACAGATGGTGTAACAGAAACCAGAGGCCTCAAGCCAGACCAATGACTCATGGCAATGAACACTTGCAAGCAAAGATGAACTGACTAAAGGGTAAACTGTGTGTCTCACCAGGGACATACTATGGCTTCCACAAGACGTTTTATTTGTTGTTGTTTTCTCGTTTCTTTCTTTTTTGTTGTTTTTAACAGAAATCTAGTAATTTTTCCATTTTTTATTTCAATTAGAAACAAGATTGTTTTACACGTCAATCCCAGTTCCCTCTCCTTCCCCCCCCCACAACTAAAACCCTACCTATCACAGATCCTTTCTGCTCCCCCTGGATGGTGAGGCCTTCCATAGGGGGGGCATCAGAGTCTATCGTATCCTTTGGGATAGGGCCTAGGCCCTCCCCTGTGTGTCTTGGCTCAGGGAGTATCCCTCTATGTGCTAGGGATAAGTCATCAAAGGAGGGCACATAGGTTGATTTGATGAGTGGGCTCTTGGAAACAGTGTACTGAAAACATGTAATGATAAACATAAAGTCACATCTTTAGTAAGGTATACACACAAAACAGGTATAGATGAAAAGTATAATAGCTTGCCTTTAACTTTTCTAAAGTCTTTTCTGCTGGCTGTATGAATTTCGTACCTTTATTCTCACTGACATTTGCTCTCCATTTTCATGATAGTACCAATTCTGATTGGAGTGATTGGAATCATAGTACAGTTTTGATTTCATTTTCCCAATGAGTCTTGTTTCTTTGTTTTGTTTAGTTTTTTCTTTTAAATTTGGTTTTGGTTTTGGGAGACAGGTTGCAAGGGCA